AAGTCTTTGTCTACTAAGTCCATGTTCTGGACTTCCTCAGGACAGTTTCTATTTATTGCCTTTTTTCTAAGTATGGGTCATACTCTCTTATTTCTTTGCATGTCTCAGATTTTTGGTTGAAAACTAGACATGATAAATAATACAATGTAGCAACTCTGGAAATCAGATTTTCCCCATTCCCAGGGTTTGTTGCTGTTTGTTGTTATTGTTACTGCTTGCTTAGTTACTTTTCTGAATTAATTCTGTAAAGTCTGTATTCTTGTCCTTTGTGGTCACTGAAGATTTCCTTAAACACTTGAAACTGATAAGTTTCCTAGTCTTTCCTAGAGTCTCTGTCTATGTGTTGAGAAGGGACGGAATATCCAGTAGACGAGGTAAGCATGGTGCTTACTTTGTGTACCAGATCATCTCTAGTGAACAATTTAACATTTTTTCACCGTATCAAAGATTCTGATTCTAGTTATGGCTGGCATCTGTCTCTCTCTCAACCCTATAGCACCTTACTACAGAATCAAAGCCTCTTTTCAAATTTACAATCCCTGACAGGGAGATTACCCAGTAAACAAAGTAAGCACAGGCTTAGTTGTGCTTACTTCCTGATATGTAGTGAACAATTTCACATATTTTTCACCACAAAGATGTGGTGAAACCCATGTGAAATTATTCACCACAGATTAGGATTTAAGCACAAGTAAACCCCTGCTTACCTTCCTTATTGGATAATCTATCCCTGGTGTTGAGGCATACCTTCAACACCTAGCTAGACAGTTTATAACTCCGCTTTAGCAAAGAGTCTCAAGGTCAGCCAGAGTAAGAATTCAGGGCCTTCCAAGTACTTTCCTGAGCTACTGCAATAGTTCACTTAGACAAAAGATGATGGTGACTTGGCTTAGGATGATGGCAACTAGAATGGAGAAAAGAAAGGACTTGGTGATTGGAGGGTGTTCAAGATAAGGGCAAGAAAGGAACCTGGGGTATTTTCCAGATTTCTGACTTGAGCAAACAAGGTAGATGAAGATATTGCACATTGGGTTCCCTTCTGAAATCATACTATTGCAGGAATAACTCTCCCCTGAAGTCTTGAAGCCAAACAATTGTTTAGCTTAACTAGTAAAGAATGTTTGCCTTGAGCATTGTGCTCTTTCAAGATCTATCCATACGGGATCAAACTGACAACAGAAACTCAAAAGAATAAATATGAAACTTGGGGGGCAGTGAGTTTATGTCAATGGGAGAGGAACGACTCAGAAAAGGAGGGTGAGAATGTTTGCACAACTCAACGAATGTAATCAAGGTCACTGAATTGTACATGTAGAAACTGTTGAATTGGTGTAGGGTTTACTGTGATCTTCTCAGCAAAAACAACAAAATTAAAAAAAAAACAAAAACAAATTGAATCCACAATTTAAGACTACATTAATTATTTATTTAACCATCTTAATCAATGTTCAAAAATGAGATCATGTGAAAGCAGTGACGCTTACATGGTGTCTTATGTGTACACAGTCTTCAGCATGTCATGACCTTTTAGTATCTCAAGAATGTCAGAGATTTTCAAAGCCTCAATAGATTTAAAAGGATTGAATTCATAAAAAATATGTTCTCTGATCACAATGGGGTAAAACTAGAAACCAGTAACAGAAGGAAATTTAGAAAATTCACAAATGTGTGAAAACGAAACAACACATTCCTAAATAACCAAGGAGTCAAAGAAGAAATCATAAGGGAAATTAAAAAATAATTTGAGATGAAGGAAAATGAAAATACAACCTACCAAAACATGTGGGTACAATGAAAGCAGTGCTTAGAGGGAAATTTATAGCTGTAAACACCTATATTAAAAAGAAAAGAAAGAACTCAAATCAATAACATAGACTTTAACTTTAAGAAACTAGAGAAAGAAGAGCAAGCTGAACCCAAAACAAGTGGAAGGAAGAAAACTAGTAAAGATTACAGAGGAAATTAATAAAATAGAGAGTAGAAAAACAATAGAGAAAATCAACAAAATCAAAAGTGGGTTCTTTGAAGAGATCATCAAAATTGACAAACCTTTAGCCAGACTAAACAAGAAAAAAGGACAGAAGATTCAAATTGCTAAAATCAGGAATCAAAGGAGCCATTATTAATGACCTCACAGAAATAAAAAGAATTGGAAAGCGATACTATAAATAATTGTAGGCCAACACATCAGATAACCTTGATGAAATGGAAAAAATTCTAGAAAGACACTAAGTAGTAAAATTGTCTTAACAATAAATAGAAATTCTGAGTAGATCTATAAAAATTAAAAATACAGGATTAGTAAAAAGTTTCCACAAAAAAATCTTGGAACCAGATGGCTTCACAGGTGAATTCTAACAAATGTTTAAAGAATAATTAACACCAATCCATTACAAACTCTTAAAAATGGTATAAGAGAAGGAAATACCTCCCAGCTTATCCTATGAGGCCTGTATTACCTTGATACCAAAACCAGACAAAGACATCACAGGAAGAGAAATCTACAAAGCTACATCCTTTGTGAATATGGACACAAAAATCCTCAACAAAATACTGGCAAGTCAAATCAAGTACCATATAAAGGATCATACACCATGACCAAATGAGATTTATCTCAGAATTTCAATGTTGATTACTTCAACATAAAAAAAAAATCAAACAAAGTAATACACCATAGTAATGGAGAAAAGACAAAAACCACATGATCATTTCAATAGATATGGAAAAAAGCATTTGATATAATCCATCACTAATTCATTATAAAAGCCCTCAACAAAATAGAAATAGAAGGGAACATCTTCAATCTAATTAAAAACAAAAACAAAAACAAAAAAAACCCTGCTGCTCTCGAGTCAATTCTGACTCATAGGGACCCTATGAAGGGCATATACAAAAAATCCACAGATAACATCATATTTAATGGTGAAAGTTCAAAACTTTCCACTTCAGATCAAGAACAAAAGAGTGAGTCTACTGTCACCATTTCTATTCAGCATTGTACTGGAGATTCCTATCAAGGCAAATAGGCAAGAAGCAGAAAGAAAAAAAAAAGCCCACATAAGAAAAGAAGAAGTGAAATTATCCCTATTTGCAGATGACATGATCTTGTATATAGAAATTCTAAAGAACTCCCTCACACACAAAAAAATTAGAGCTAATAAAAGAGTTTAGCACGATTGCAGGATACAAGACTGATATACAAAAATCAATTGTGTTTTTATACAGCAGCAAGGAACAATACAAAAAAGAAATTGAGAAAATAATTGCATTTACAAAAGCATCAAAAAGAATAAAATACTTAGGAATAAATTTAACAACAAAAACTCAGGAGTTGTACACGGAACAATATAAAACATCATTGAAATAAATCAAAGAACACCTAAGTAAATTTTGGAATATATGGATTGGAAGACTTAACATTGACCTATGGAATCAATGTAATTCCTGTCAAAATCCCAGCTGCCTTTTACAGGGAAGTTGATAATCTTATCCAAAAATTCATATAAATAGTATAAAAGTACACTATCAAGAAAGTGAAAACAAAGTCTCAGAATGGGAGAAAATATTTGCAAATCATATAAGGGACTTGTATCAAGATAATATAAATAACTCCTACAATTTAACAACAAAAAGACAACTAGCCCAACTGAAAAGCGTTCAAAGATTTGACTAGTATGCATCTTCTTTTTTTTTTCTTAGTATGCATCTTCTGAAGAAGTTATACAAATGGCCAATAAGCACATGAAAAGATGCTCAACATCATTAGTCATTAAGGAAATGCAAATAAAAAACCATGAGGTACCACTTTGAGCCCACAAGGATAATCAGAAAGACAAAAAAAAAAAAAACAAGTGTTGGAGAGGATGTGGAGAACTTAAAATCATCATCCATTGCTGGTGGAAATGTAAAATGATACAGCCACTGTGGAAAACAGTTTGGCAGTTCTTCAAAAGTTTAATTTTAGAGTTACCATATAACCCCACTATTCCACTCCCAGGTAAACATCCAAAGGAATTGAAAACATATTCATACAAAAACTTGTACATGAATATTCATAGCAGCATTATTCATAATAACTAAAAAGCGGAAACAACCAAATGTCCATTAACTAGTAAAAGGATAAACAAAATGTGATATATCAATACAGTAGAATATTATTTTGTCACAAAAAATAATGAAGTGGTGATATAAACTACAACGTGGATTAACCTTAAAAACATTATCTTAGTGAAAGAAGCCCGTCACAAAACACCACAATGTGGTATGATTCTATTCATATGAAATGTCCAGAAAAGACAAACCCATATGATTCTATTCATATGAAATGTCCAGAAAAGACAAACCCACAGAGACGGAAAGCACATTAGTGGTTACCAGGGGATGAGGGGCAATGTGAGTGACTGCTAATGGGTATAGGTTTTTATTCTGGGATAATGAAAAAGTTCTGAAATCAGATAGTGGTGATGATTGTATGCCTTGTGCATATACTAAAATCCACTGAATTGTACACTATAAAAGGGTGAATTTTATGGTATGTGAATTGTATCTCAATTAAAAATATTATGTTAAAAAAATCCAACTGTCTGCATCCAGTACTTTTTTTTTTTCTGGGAGAAACTCCCCTGTCCATTGTCCTCCTAAAATCATCATTATGTAAATACAGTGCATTTCAAGATGAGTATAAGAGAACCAGTACCTTTCTATCACATTCATAATAAAATCTCTCTCCTTCCTTGTCTTCTTTCCCAAATTGCTATTCCACACTGAAGAAAATGCTGAGTATTCACAGAGCTTCTTCCAGAGAATATATCTCTGACCTAAAAGAAGAAGTGTTTTATCGAAGAAAGTTGGGAGGTTATCTTCTGTGATATTATCAAAAGTTAAAATTATTCTAAATTTAGGGAGAAAGCTAACTGGTATTTCATGCAAATATTCAAAAGTTTGTTACATTGATATTGAAAAGACTAAGCACGTTGCTTTTGTCGTTATTCATAGAGGAAGTCTGCCAGCTTGGGAAAGCAGAAGGAAATCTTTCATTTCAGTTTGTTTTCACAAGGTTTGTTAGCAGAAATGCAAGATTTCTTTCAGCCGAACGTCGTTTGTGGTCTTCTCTTTCTTTTTGGTCCATGAGATGGCTGGAGATATAGTTTATGCTGATATCAAGATTTCCCCTTTAGAACAGTCCTCTACACTTCAGAAACCTGGTAAGTTGGATTTAGGGCTCCCTTTAAATTAATATCCAACTTTTAATCTCTTTTTTTTCTGTCTTGTGTCTGTGTTTGTCTTACTGGAAATAGGAGACTGGGGTTAAAGCAAAATTTATTGAATGTAAAAATAAGAGTGAATGTTTTAAATGAAACAAAATGTCTCTTCAAAAGGCTAATTATAACTTTGTGTCCTAATATGCAGAACTTTGCTCTTTGTTTTCATGGCCTCTCTGTTCTTCATATTTCTTGTGGTGAACATTCATATACACACAGTGAATTCTTTACTCATAACCGCTTTCTGTTCAACATTTTTACGCACCACAGATCAAATTTATCCTTTTAACATAATGTGATAAAATTCGTTTATATAGAGGCAAATATCCATGGTAATTGTTCACATTGTTATTTATCCCTTTGGAATTTTCATATCAACTGGATAAAAATGTTAAACTAAATTAGGGAGACATGGAATGTTGGCATTTCATTTTACAAAGTTTAGAATTAATAACTATCTGAGTAATTGAATATTTTTGGAATATGAAGAGATAAGCATATGGCTAACCTTAACATTGTGTCTTAATCACAAAACCACTCCCAAAATGATAGATTTTCAAAGTCGGTGTCTTTTCTATTTCCTAAAACATTAGGGAAATTTCTTTGCCATGTTGCATTTCCATTCCCTCCTCTAGGATAAGATTTTTTTTTCTATGATAAAGTTTATATAAAATGCTTAAGTAATTTAAAGTCTCCTCTTGTACTTGCCCTTGTCGAACGAATCTGGGGGGTGTGTGTGTGTGCGTGTGTGTGCGCGCGCGTGTGTGCGCCGGCATGCGTTCGCGTGCATTCGCGTGCGCGTGTGTGTATGTTCCTATATTTCCAAAGAATGAATTTCTTCTTTTTTATTTTTAAAACTTGCCACTGTTTGCGATTATCAGATGAATCTGATGACTATTTTTCTCTGGTTCCAAGAACGTATTATTCCTTATTGTTTAATCTTATCACTCTAAGTTGCCCAATAGAGGTTAATGTGTTTTCTTTCATCCCTGGGGTGAGCACTTTCATTTCCTGTGAGATGATGGAACTTAGTCTGAAAAATAACTTGGGCTAGAGCTGCATTCTTATAAACGAAACAAAAACAAGCAAACCATCAAAACCCTCATGTAATTAGTCCACTTTTCTAGAGGTTTATTTTAACTTAGTTCAAGCAACAAAACCAATACTTTTGATTCTGCATTCCAGGGTTCGATTTTCTTATTGGTTATTGATAGGATCCTAATTCTTTCTTGGTTTAGGAATTTGGGGGTGACGTTTTTAATGTTGTTATTCAGCCCAATCTTCTCATGTTATAAATGAGAAAACATAACTGTATAGAGATTAAATGACTTTTACCTATAATCAAGTTTATGATTTAAAGAGCAGGAGCAGAAGTCAAATCTCCTGTTGCTGTTTTGCTGTATATCTCTCCTGTTGGATAAATGCAACATTCGTTCTCATGTGTCATATCAGTGTATAAGGAAAGAACTATTTGAAATATTAGATCATCTCTTACAGAGCTCTACATGACTGCTTCTGCTCTTCCTCTTGTAACTTCTTTCTTTTCACTTATGTTCTGGTCATTGGCTTTCTCTTTGCTCCTTAAAATTACCATATTTCTTTTCCATTTCAGAGCCTTTGTATGTGTAGAATCCCTCTCCCTGATCTTTTAATCTTTGTATTTCCAGCATCTAACGTAAAAATAAAGTTGCCATCGAGTTGATTCCAACTCATAGCAAACCTGTAGGACAGAGTAGAACTGCCTCACAGGATTTCCAAAGCTGTAAATCTTTATGGAAGTAGACTGCCACATCGTCCTCTGCAGAGCAGTTGTTAGGTTTGAACTACTAACCTTTCATTTAGCAGCCGAGCTCTTATTAACCATGCACTACCAGGGTTCTAGAATCTCACATAGTACTAAGTAAATAGCAGGTAATCAATAAATGCTTGCCGAGTGAAGGAATGTATAAATGGATGAATAAATTAATGGATCTCATTAGATACTCAATAAATATTGTTGGCTTGTTGGTTCTTCAAGATATAAACCAGAGAGAGCTGTCACCAGGAAAGTAAGCAGGATGTCACTGTGACAGTGTGATTCCACTGAGAATATTCAGGCTAAGATTCACAAATTCATGCTTTGTTATGTCTTACTAGAAGGGCCTAAGAGAATTATCTACTATCTCTTATGTAGGTCCTTTCATAAAAATCTGAGGTTTTATTTCTCTTAGTTTTATGGGCCTGTAATCTCAGTTCTTCATATTAGAAATATGTCTAGAGATACTACCACAACTTTGTCATTCCCTTGATTGCCATAATTTATATTATTTTACCTGATAAATGAAAATATATAGACTTTTTTTTCCAAATGTTCTGAGAATTATTTAATAAAATCCCACTATTTTTCACCAACAGCAACAATTTGAACATAAATCAAAGCACTTGAGAATAGTATGCTACCAAATATTCAGCTTAATCATTCTTAACATTTGATTTTGTATTTGCTTATGTTTCGGCATCAGCTATTTTTAACACTTCTCAGTGTCTTGCATGCTTGTGTCACACATGTAGTGGAATTGATATACTGTAATTATTTTATTTTAGAGACATTTGGTTTTAGCTGGCTGACCAAAGCTGAAAAGCCTCGCTTCTTTATTTGTTTATTATCTTTCAGTATCCAAAGGCAATGAGATAGTGTGGATAGTTAATATAATACTGGCCTAGTAGTCAAGAGACCTGAATGTTGTCAGTGAGTTTATCAGATATTATTGATGGTTTCACAGTTTTATATAAAAAGTTAGGGATGCAGAAAGTAAATCATAAATAAGATTAATACAGAGAATATTGTGAACCTACCAGGAAAAATTATATCCATTGACAGTTTCATAGGTTCCCCTTTTCACAAAAAGGACAACTATGTGTGTGTGTGTGTGTGTGTGTGTGTGTGTGTGTATAAACGAGAAAAAAGGAAACATAGTAAAAAAAAAAAAAAAAGGAAGCTCTTTTAAAATAAACGTTATTTCAAAGGAAGTAACTCAGGAGCGTTACAACTGGTAATTGCAAAAGCTTTTTCCAACCTTCTGCTATCTCTCACCAACATGCAAGATTCAAAGAAATTATCTGCTAGGCTTACTAGTGAAATCTATCCATTTTTACAGAGTCTCACCATCATGGAATTTTTCTGAAAGCTGGATGTGCAATGATCATCATCCTGTTGTTGATAGTAATTTTGCTGAGCATTTTTGGTAAGTAATCAACAATACTATTCATGAATCCCAAAGTATTATTCTCTGATAACCTGGTATAATTGTGTTTGTTATTCAAGTGTTTCCTAAACAATAACTTCACAAAAAGTGTGAAATTTGATACGCCCTTAAAATTAGAGATTTTTCCATAGAGCTTCAGCATGGTAATATATATCATAGAATAATCAAGGAGCCCTGATGGTGCACTGGTTAAGAGCTAGACTGTTAACTGAAAGGTTAGTGGTTCGAACTCACTAGCAGCTCCACGGGACAAAGATGTGGCAGTCTGCTTCCGTAAAGATTACAGCCTAGGAAACTCTATGGGACAGTTCTACTCTGTCCTATAGAGTCGCTATGAGTTGGAATAGACTTAGCGGCAACAAGTACAGTATGAATTAATCTCATTGGTAAAGGAAACATGTCAAGATTAGGGGTATATTTTATGACCAAGATCACACAATGCATTATGTTGTTCCTCAGGGCAGTTTGATAGTGGGATACACACAAGCTTATTTGAAAGCATCTTTGATGAAAGCAAATTAAACTATGAAGTACATTGGAGCCCTGGCGGTCCTATAGGGTCACTATGAGTTGGAATTGACTCCACAGCAAAGAGTTTTGGTTCTGAATTTTTTATGCTTATTAGCTGCTGCTGGGCCTTATTAATCTTGTATTTGTAGTTGAAAATTATTCTAAAATCAATCAATTGAATCAAGCATTTAAAAAATATACTCACATACTTTAGACATAGCTAGACATAGCCCAATTATTCATAAGACATTATTTTAATAAATTTATTGAATACATGTTTGGAGAAAAGTTCTTAATGAATATGCATAAAGCAAAGCTAAGACCAAAAAAAAAAAAAAAAAAACAAAACAAAAGGCAAATCTAATACACAGATGCTGTATATTCCAAGTAATGAAGGCTTCCGGATTAAATCAAACTCTAAAACAGGTCAATGCACTATCTGTCTATGTCACTGAACCTTGTGAATGGCATTAGCAATTATGAATGGCACTAGTAATTAGAAGTAAATAGGCAGAGTCATAATTCTGGAACTCGACAGAAATCCGCAAGTCAAGCTTCTGGTTTAGATGAACAATCTGAATCTCAAGGATTAAGTGGTTTGACTAGTTTCATATAACTAGTCAATACCTAATTGGGACTCTAAAATATAACCAAAAAAAAAAAAAAATCAAAAAAAGCTGTGCTATTTTTTTTTATGTTAAGGTAATAGATTCGTTTATTACTAAAATAATTTGTTACTAAAACAGATTTGTTTGGAACCAAATTAGATATGTTACAATTATAGATTTTAAGCATAATATTTCTATTTTAAAAATTTATCTAAGAGGTATCAAGGTGTAGGATTTAAAGGCGTGCACACTCTAGAGATCAACTGTTTTCAAATCCCAGCTCCATCACTAATGGAATTTTTACTTTTGAGAATATGTATATATATATATGTATAACCAAAAGCCAAACCCATTGCTGTCGAGTCAATTCCAAATTCCAACTCATAACGACCCTTTAGGGTAGAGTAGAA